TGTGTTAAGGTGAAATGAGAATATAACTCATAGAAAGCACGGGCCGAGATCCGAAGCACGGACTTTTTATTTCGAAGTGTTGATTATCTTTGTAAAGTTTACTTGTGTTTGTGTAATTTTAATGTATTTTGACTACTCTTCCACGATCACCATCATTATGTTTAGTCATCCTTTGATCTGTAATTGAACTTGGTAACGGTAACCAAGAAAAACATATAAACAAATAGTAAAGTATAGACTATTGATAATTTCAATGGCCTCCTTTCAGATTTTGAAATAAGGAGTGGAAATATATTTTATATACAGAATCTCAATATCGATTTTAAATTCTGCACCTTTGTTTATATTTTCGATCACACAATATTACGTATTTTTTAGACTTAAAGATGGGTTTCCTTATTTAGTGTCAAATTAAGGGAACCCATCTTTAATATATATTAAAAGAATTATAAAGAGGTTTTCTAAAAAAAATATATGTATCGGAAACACTAATAGCAGTGATTTGCATTCTTGAAATATTCTATCATACTTCTGTGGATATGTAATTCCACTAAAACCCCTAAAACCGAGCGTTTTATGACGTTATTATCCGAGAGCAGCTTTTAAACATGAAATTGAAATTGAAAGTTAATTGAGGCTAATTTCCCTCATTGCACACTGCATGGCGTTACTCGTTTTCATTTGCACAAAAATGGGATTAATTTCATTTCATTTTCACAGAACAAATCATTTTTTAGAAATCAATGATGCAAGTTATTCGTGTGGGTGGAGTCTATACAGGTTACATATTTCATGCTTGGTGTCCGACAAGTTTAACTGAAGTATTTTGACAATATTAATCGTGAGGAAATATTTGTTGGGTGTTTAGTCACTTCTTAATAGTAACTGTTAGCTTTTATTGATAGTATTTATAATGGAAAGTATTTGCCCACACCTTCTTTCCAGTATCTCAACTTGATAGTGTTCTTAAGTTGGTTGGGACCCTTCCACCGGGAAATTTTGCTTTTTGTTCTTCTGCATTTTGAGTTAATACTATTTCACTCATTTAAATATTTCTGGTTTGTTTAGTTTGATATTAATAGTATACATAGGTACATTTCTTTTTTATTTTGTATGTTTTTCCAGGTGCTAATTTGCTACAGGCTGTGCACGTTAAAGATTCCTCATCAACCGGAAATCTAAAAAGAGTAGCTTTTGTAGCTGTCAAAATTCCCCTCATTGCACACTTTTAAATGTAGTCGGCCAAATTCGTTAGCCCTAGAAAAGTAAGACGTTAAACACTTTCTTTCTTTATTTCAGTCTAATATTGGACTTTGATCTATTGCAATACACCCAGAATATTTCTCAGGGATCTATTGAGGTCACGCCACGATCTCTGTGTATTGCGTCAGGTATGCTTTACGTTGGCTATTTTGTAACGATCCTGTCTTGTAAATCTCCTGTTCGGCGTTGACGCAAATTCAAATTTTGGACTTCGATCTATTGTAATACTCCCTCAACATGATATAGCTTATACTGCGTCAGGTATATGCTTTACTTGGCCCTTTAATAAAATTCCTCTCTTGGAAATCTCCTGTTCGATGTTGGCAGGAGTTTCAAGTTCTCTGTTTCACCTTGGAATGACAGTTGTAGTTAGCTATAAAACGGAATCTCTTTAAAGCCCTTATGTTGGAGCAATATTACTTTAAGGGATATCCCTTTTTTATATTGCACATTCTGAAGAATATGGATTTTTATTTTATATATTCAAATTATATTGTATTATTCAAACTATTGCACAGATACTCTCTCAGTATAGGAGTTACCCTGCATATACCTATGCCTTTGCTTTTGTAACATTACATTACGCAATTTTGTTTACAAATCAATACTGTTATTATTCCCAGTTTGTTTTATATAATTCATAACTATTGTATACCAGTTAACCTTTTTGTGACTTATATAAGTTATTTATGGGATGAACATTCAGTTGCTTACTAACAGTATTTTACCGAAGGCAATCCTTACCATTAAACTAGCGCCAAGGTCACTTACCTCGTCATCCCATTTTCAATATGACGTCAGATTATAAAAAATTATATATAAGAATTGTATGGTTGAACAACCCTACCTTTTATACATAGTGTTTTAGAATGACAGAAAGGAAATAGTCTGTTGTTTTGGGTGTGGCGCGGGAAATAGTTTTCATTACTTTTATATCACTTCATTCTGATATGGTATGAAAATTATAGGCCTACTGTATTTTTATTGAAAGTAAAAGCTTGCTCCAAATTAGCTTTTTTGTGTTCCTCGGAACAAGTGACAAACCACACAAAGTCGTTCATCTTGTAGCATCTAGATTTCAATTGGGGTTAATAGTGGACCATTGGAACCCTAAGCTATCATCTTGGACAATTTTAAGTTGTATTGCTAGAAGTGTCGTAATAAAGGAAAGCAGTACAGGGGATATCGGTACCAATGTCCGTCCATTCATATTTGCTCTTAAACTTTCTAGATTGTATAAGGCAGAGACAGGTTAGATGTTCTTTTTCCCTATTAATGGAAAGTTGTCGCTCCTTCAGATTTCAAACGACTGTCTTTTAAACTTGGAATGTATGTGTACAATTCACACATTAACCACGATTTCTGTTGCCATGTTTTATTATGTGTCCTTGACATATTGACAGCATCACAGCAATTTGGCAGTAGGCTACAGACCATGCCACGGGCTACTACTGATCTTTACTAATACACCTTCGAAGTCTGCCTAAAAGATAACCTCAGGTTATCATTTGTTTTCTGTTTCGGGGGTTACTGGTTTCTTGGTACAAGCAGATGAACCAGTACGCTGTGAGGAAATGGTGGTGCTTAGGGCGCAATACGTAAATGCCCTCAACAAAGCCTTCCAGACGAAAAGGTCATGTGACCTAGTTATAGACACGACCAAAGTTAACAGAGACGTTCAGTGAAAATTCCATTGTGTACATGACTAAAAGTAAACAATCACAACTATGCGACAAACCGTTTACATTCGACAATCAAATATTGGGTCAATTTTCATTTGTCAATTTTCATTTGGGTCATACCCAAAAATTTTGTTCTAGATTGTTCTCTCAAATAATATATCCCTGATTGCTTCAAGATTGGATTCTGTCGATGTCAATTCCATTTTGTTATATACATCCTCTCAACGTGTGATATTTTGAGGATTAGTCGGCATTGCCTTACGCAAGAAATAGTGAATTAAAATGGCGATCACCGATGGCCGTGAAAAAACAAAGCATTTTTCTGCAGAACACTGTAAAATCCATGGAATTGCATCTAACGTGCTCTGAGTTAATTCAGACTTTGGGTAAAACTGAAATGGGATCGATGTGCAAGGCATAGGGGCAGGATATAGGGTTCAGTTCAGCTGACATACTGAATGACGCTTGTTGCATAAGAAGGGTAAAATGAGCGCACAGTGGTTTCCCCTTTTTAATGGCATAGAGGTATATATGAGTTAGTAGGTGGCCTGTACTTTGAACCAAATCTACAAAACAATGCCCAAATTTTCAAAAATGATTTTGACTATTAAAGACACTTTTCTCCAGATGTTTTTCAAATACAGTCCTAACACTACAGGTGTCTTTCAATACAATAGGACAAACAAATTCTTTTCAAAATATTTCCTTTAATTTAAATAAATATCGTTGAATTTAATCAATATCCATTCATACAATTTCAAATAATCAAATCATATTCCATTCAATTTCACAACGTCATACTTCATAATAACTTAAAATACAATTGCACTGTCTTTTGTCTCAAACACCTTTCATCACATTCATAAAGTCGTAGCAGACGTTAGCATTCATTCAAACTTCCGTACACAAAAGAGTCAAATACAATTTTTGACAAACAAAAGTTTTGTATCGTCAACGAACTATCATTTCAGTTCTGGGTCACTGATTTCCGCTAACAAAGAAGACACATGTCAATCTGGCAAATCCGCCGCCAATCGATAACAGATCCCTTTGTTTAATTAAGCGACTTGTTAATTGGTTGATAACGGGATCGTGATTGTGATAGTCCCAACTCCTGTACAGTCATACTTTTCAGTTCTTGTTTGGAATGTTCATTTCTCTTTGTAGACATTACATCCTTTGTAAAGGTCGTTACCCGTAAAAACCGTAAAATTGCGGTCGTTTTCTGGCGAGCACTTACAAACTGGCTGGCAAGAATATCAATTGCAGTTTGGACAGATGAAAAGTTCCCTCATTCACCTTGTTGAGTTGGGAGTCCAGATTTCACACTGTTAATGCAATCACTGTAGGAATATTTTGTTCACATAAGGCGTCCTTCACTTGTACAGAACAAGAGTAATTTTCCATTGCCGTTTTTAAATTCTGGCAAGAAACCTGTGTGAACACTTGGATTTTTTTGTTTGAATTGTCTGACGACTCGACTGTGACGTAATCACCACCACAGCTGGCGTCTGTTAAGTTCGTGCACACCTCGCTCATTCCTGTATTAAATATACTGACTAAATTGTTTATTTGGGTGTTCTCGTGGTGTGTAAACTCCATCTTTTCACATTCATTGTTTAATTTTGCCTTTTTAGGACATGAAGAGTCATTTTCTTGATCACAACTCCTACGACGTTTGATAGTACATTTTTGACACACTTGATTCATGAATTCGGCAACTCCTTTTTCCAGTCGGTGACTCATGTCATTCTCTGGAACATTATTGTCCATTTTCTTTTCACACAAAGCGGTGTTGTTATTATCTGGAGATGATACCTCCACTGTTTCGTTGATATGATTTGGGTGGGAGTTTTCTTTATCATCCCCTCGTAGTGGACTAATAGATGTATTCTTCTCCTCTTCATCGTGTGACCCACTTTCCATTAGAGTGTCTTGACGTATTGAGGTGACCGCGTGGCTCGCCGAATATTTGACGGGTTCAACACGAGCAGCCGGCTGTTGTACTATAACAGGCTGTGGTGCCACGTACTGCGGTTTTTTCGATGCAAAGTAGTTTTCCATCATAAAACTGGTCCGGGCCTTATGTAACACACTGGCCACTAATAAGTTCTTATGTAAGTTTATTCCACCACGCTGTGATCTGGAAGCTGCTATTTTCCCAATGGACACAGCCACTAATCTTTGAGCCTCTGTAGCAAAAGTAGCCATTATAATTCAATGTTTATTCCTGTAATGAAGTATTTGTCCAGTAAATGTAAAACAATCACACGCGTTTACCTCTGTATAAATATTACTTGTTTTAACTCTCTAATATACAACCTTTCTTCTCGAGCGCGTGTGAATCTAATGAAATGTGTACAATGGACTATAGAGTTTTGAAAGACATGACGTCAATAATCTGGATATCGACCAATCAAATTCAAGTACGGGGTTAAAGAAACATGCGTCATAAGGTTTCGACCAATCAGAACCTACAAGCATTACACCAGCGTAAACTTGCGTGACCCGGAAAGCTAATAATAGAATTGACCCGCCAAATAAAGGCAAATATTTTGTCGTCATAGCGGCATGATAATCATTCAACGGGCTGAGTCACAGTTAAATTATCAATTGATTTCTAAGCATCGCGTGCAACTTGTTACTACCTGTCCTAAACAAGTCGACAAGTGTTGAACAACGATACATCCGATATGGCTAACGGCCCGTCACAAATTCTTTGTTTTCTAATTTAACTCGAATCATACTGGGAGCACGATAATATTTCTTAATTAAGCCATTTTAAATGACCCTTGAGTCATAGTTTATGATTAGACGGTTGTATCATTGGTTGTATCACTCCTGTCTAAAAGGAAATAGTTAGAGGTCTTTGTCACAGATATTTACATGTCTTGTCATTGGCTAATTTATGGTTAATTCCTTACAGCTATATTTTTTAAAATGGGTTTCTTACACCGGTAAATGGGGAATTAATTTTTAATCTGCAGCATTTTGGGTCCATTTACCAGAAGCGAAATTCCAACTGTTTTTATCTTATCGAAATATTTAATAAATTGAGCAGTAATCTTCTTAATTCTTTGGAAAACCAAGAGACAAGTATATATTAGGATGTGTAACGGATTTGGGTGGATATTTCTGGTTTTACCACATGCACCAGGACGTAATAATAACAATGACCGTTTACATAGTCACTAAGTTTTATCATTCTCGAATCAGTAATTAGTTATATCATAATGGTTTGTCATTCATTATTCATTATGAGTACTCATTTCCGTGATTGTCAAGTGTATATGAAACAGATGTCGGGAATTCGGGAAATTCATTGTGGACATTTTTTATGCCTTGACGCAGTTCTTAGCATGGAAAACCTATTACCCCTTTACTGTGTATGGTTTCAAATAGGATTGTGGGGATTTTAGGTTTTCCATTACACGAAGTGATTTTTTCTGGTTTAATCTGGACGTTAAATGTCAATGGCTGAAACCGCCTCCTACTTGTTTTTCAATAATTGTCACACGCGAGCCCTAATTCATTAATAGGACAATGAATGTCGTCTTGTAAAGAATCTTAGAAGGGCGGTACGAGACAACAGTTCGATCATCACTCTATAGACTACATACATGTATATGTTCTTTGTGTGATGGATCTGCTTTACTGATCTGATGCATTACACCAGTCACATCTTTTCAAAATATAATTCTTGCAAAAACATTTAACTATTGCATCTCAAAACATTAAGAAAATCTTTCAAGGGTCAATTTCATGTTTGCAGATGATTTTGCCTTTGTTCTTATGCTACGACTATTGAAATAGGCCTCTCGACCTCCATCACATGCCGCAAGTCTTAAGAACTGTGACCTATTCTGACATTGCTGCTGAAGATCTCTATGACTTGTTCTGACATTGCTGCTGCAAGCCGCAAGAACTCTGTGACTTGTGCTGATATTGCTGCTGAGAGTATCAAGAATTCTGTGACTTGTTTTGACATAGCTGCTGCAAGTCACCGGAACCCCTGTGACTTATTCTGACATTGCTACTAAAAATTCTCAAGAACTCCGTGACGTATGCTGAAATACCTGCCGAAAGTTTCAAGAACTCTGTGACTTATTCTGACATTGCTGCCGTAAGTCTCAAGATCTCTGTGACTTGTTCTGACATTGCTGCTGCAAGTCTCAAGATCTCTGTGACTTGTTCTGACATTGCTGCTGCAAGTCTCAAGATCTCTGTAACTTGTTCTGACATTGCTGCTGCAAGTCTCAAGATCTCTGTGACTTGTTCTGACATTGTGGCTGAAAGTATCAAGATCTCTGTGACTTGTTCTGACATTGCTGCTGCAAGTCTCAAGATCTCTGTAACTTGTTCTGATATTGCTGCTGAAAGTCCCAAGATCTCTGTAACTTGTTCTGACATTGTGGCTGAAAGTATCAAGAACTCTGTGACTTGTTCTGACATTGTGGTTGAAAGTCCAAAGATCTCTGTAACTTCTGACATATCTGATGAAAGTTTCAGGAACTCCGTTACTTGAGCTGACTTGTCGGCTACTTCACCTTGACGTTTGGATTTCCATTATTGTCATTATTGAAGGCAAGCATGATCGTCATCGTCATCATTATCATCATCAAAAGGCTAGTGATCCAATACCAGAATTGTACTTTGAGAAAGTATGTAAGATGACTGGTTATTACATCAGTTAAGTCAGCCAGACACACTAGTCAGCACGTCGTATTGCTATATCAATATATATAATATAGACTTATAGTATACACTGCTAATCATACTAAGGCTAGTAGGACAGTTGAGTACAAACTAGTCATCACATTTTCAACTGTATGATCAATTTGTGTGAGCTTGGGCTTCTCTGGAAACTAACTGAATTAAAAAGCATAAACTCATAGTAAAGATATCCACCCCTTACTTAAAGTGACAGATGCGAAATTTGAGCTTTCAAATCCATGTGTGTCCAGAATTATCCGCGTTTGAATGTTAAAATGACGACTCGTCAAGATAAGATACATATATATAGAAAAGACATACAGAAATCGTGAGTTTGAAGTATTTTTCGTACATTTTCGTACATTTCTAGTATTCCTGAAGACTAGTTTCATATATTCAAAACTGAAATCAACCCCCCAAAATGCCACAACTATCCCTTTAAACGAAACCAAGGATTGTAAAAATTATAAACAAGGGACACTTTTCGTGTACCACGTACCAGGCCGAAGCAACGGGGGAGGCAAATAATATTGAAGACAATTCAATTGCTTATTTCATTAGAAATAGTGAAAAAAACATTTTGATAATATTCTACTCTCCGATCCACAGCCACCCCACTCCCTTGAATATATTACTTGTCATCCCTGACCCCCTCCCTACACATATAGACATATTTGGGAATTTCTCTTTTGTTTTACGGGTCAATCCAGGAAAGAATACTAGTTAGTTCTTAAGACTTGTACCGTATGTTATGGACTCGCGTATTAGAATCGATTGTAACCAACTGCTGCCACGCATCAGACAAAATTGATTCATTATTTCGTCAGTGATTTTCGCTCCGTTATATTATTGATTATTTCTACTTGTTCAACACAACCCCATGATCATAATTTAAATTATACATAGTCTTATATTGCTTATATCAAGATGTAGCTATAGTGGGGCGAGATTGCCCCGCCGGACAACCGACCAATTCCATTACTGCAACTAATCACTATACACCATTGCCCCTCCGAACAATCAAGTATGGCTACGGGCCTGGTATTGAAACAATTGCACATGCCTTAGAAAAAGATCAACAAGTATACACATTCCTGTTAATAAAGGTAGACGGCCACTGAAGTCTAAATAGTGTACCGTTTTACTTTGGTGGAAACGGTTGATAAACTGGCATTAAGCTTTATATTGTTGACTTCTCTACTCTTGACGCCAAAAAAATTGTGAATGACGACCTCTCGTCCCAGTTTTACCAATTTCCAGTGCAGAGATCAAGTCGTCGACGAGCTCTGCCACAGACGGTCTATTATTGCCGTAGAGTAGATCAACTTGTTTGACATCATTAGAGGTGTCCAATTTTAAATGTGGTGTAAGGCTTAATATATCAATTGGCTGCCTATTTATCCTCGACTATAGCAGCAATTTAATTCGACCAAATTAACGATATTTCCATTACAACGTTTATTGAACATCCTGAGCCGAGTTAACCATCCGAATTCAGTGATCTAGAACAATCTTATCAAACAAAGGATAATATCATGAGGTGTCTCTGATTGTTTGATAATCGAGTCTAATCATGTATCATTCACTAGGCATGTCGACTAATAAAATTGTTGTATGAGCTCAGCGTGCCAAACTCAACATCAGCCTGAGGTGAATTTGATGACTGTATCTCATTCACTGGGTTAAAGTATTTAGGAATTAGGTTGGCGATAAATTTGGAAGTCCGCCTGTCTATTTATAACTCACATTAGTACAGTGGTATAGTTGCTGACTGGGCGGTACACGTGTGTCTGTTTACCACATATGGGAAACCGATACCATCTTGAAATAACCGGAATCAACTATCAGCATTCTTTGTTAACATGTAGAATTTGGAAATATAAGAGGTCAATTTAACCCCTGACTAAAAGACATCGGTATCGGAACCTTTTTCGTTTTAAACCTAAAAGCCTTGATGGCCGTGGCGTACTCTGTGTTATATATCTAGCGGGGCCAGCCCTCCGAGATTGGGGGTACAAAAGTGGCAGCCTGGCTTAATGGGGGGCGGGATGGTCAATCGTCGGAGATGAGATTCAAAATGCTGCAGCTCTGTGGAAGCGCATAGGAGTTCACACCAAGACATTTTTTGAATTGAATTGTTTTGGTGCATTCTGACAATTTGCGAATTGCTTAAACTATTTTAATGACATGGGTTCCTATTGGGTTTGGTCAAACCTCTAGCGAATAAACCACATTACTCTTGGCCTTCTTTTATTTCATGATAAGGACGCCTGTTCCCTTTGGTGGCTCGGTTTGGTACTTCACATTCGCATAATCAAATATATATAGGTATATCAGGGAGAGAACTTGATGAATGAAGAAGCAACTCATTCAATTATCTTCTTAAATTTTTTATTCATTCAATTATCTTCTTGAATTTTTTATTCATTCAATTATCTTCTTTAATTTTTTTATTCATTCCCTATATTTTTCCTGGTCCACTTATTATTGCAACCAAAAAAGGAAAGGATAGATTGACAAGGAAAATTAGTCAACTCATGGGTGACCTATTTACCCCTCACCGGTAAAACACGAGTCATGAACTCGGCTACCGCAAAAATAGCCCGAGGAGAAAGCTGTCTTCTATTATCTATTTCGTCCGAGTTAAAGTTCACGGGAGAGGTCATGTCCATTCAGCAAGGTGGTTTCCAAAGTCGGTAGTAATGTTAGGTGTCTGGCGGTCATTTGAGAAAACGAATTGTCGAGTTAGTTTCAAAAAATGAATTGATTAGCAATGGCGTATTTACGGGGAGGGGTGCGAGAGGGTTCTACTTTCACTACCAAAATCGCGTTTGATGCATTCTACGCCTTCCTATATTATTTTTTCTTGGAAAAGCCCCGTCCACCCCACCGCAACTAGTGCCCTTTAAAATCCAAAATGAATGATACCCCCAACCCCGCCAACAATGAAATCCTTACTACGCCACTGTGTTTCGAGGGAAAGTGGTACACAATGTAATAATATGTTTCTCTTGGCCTAGTCCTACCCCCACCTTTTTCTTTTCAACTAAGAGTCCAATCTACCCATATGAAAGTGAATATTTACATTCAAATTCTATTTTATTCAAAGTTTGAGTTGCATTGTATGGCCAAGACCCTGTGTGCTACAGACTGTGCCCATCCCTCGACAGTTGGAAATAGTAAAGGAATAGGATAATGCCACAGTCATGAATTTCCCTTATTGCACACTACTTGACATTACTCACCTCCATTAGATTCAGAAAAGTAGAACGTTTTAACTGATTAATTTGGCTCCAAGATTTTTTGAGAAATTTGGGTCAGACGATACATCTGGTTGACCTGTACCGTAGAGAAGTGGTTGACATGGCTGGGTAGGCCGGTGAGTGACAGATGACCCGTATTATTTATTGACTGATCATGTCGGTTACAAACATCAATTTTCACTGATACCGTTTATAAACTTTACAAATTGACCGTGTATCCATTAACATTCACAGTGTACCCTAATCTAAAATACCACTAATATTATCACACGATTTACACCATTATGTATAGATTTTAACAGTTAAAAATAACCTGTTTCATTGTGAGTCGCTGATAAACACAAACCAGTCTCGAAATGAGAATTGTATCTGATTCTGTGTGTCGCTTTCGAATTTAAATCAGTCTCAAATGAGAATTGAAATAGAACTTTGTAGGCCTAGAAACAAACATGCAGTAAGGTCGTGTTGACAGTTTGAATAGAACCTTGAGAGGAAAAGAGAAGATTTAAAAGATAATGACATTTCGCGTTGTTACTGGTCTAACTAAAGGTGAGAATAGACCAGGTGCCTTGCCGGACACCGTACCTCGTCTATTCGCGACTTCCTGACATTATTGTCATTTTGGATTGCGCCCTAGTTACATTACTATATTAGCACCCCCACCTATCAATTCCATAAAAGATATACTGTCGTCATATCAATTATCATGTAAGTTTTATACCAGTGTTTTTCATTTATTTTCAAAAATGACGCCCACTCCCCCAACCCACCTCTAGAGTGGATTCAAATTCACAGTGGACCCTTCTAATCTTAAGTTCTGATGCGCCACTGTGCTTGGGACAAATAAACTAGGGACAATACAGCTTTATGTCACTGCATAACCATAAAAAAAATACATGTAGGCCTATGAATATGGACGTTATCACAAGACTTACATAGTAAATAGTAACATACTAGTTAACCTATATTTAACTGGGATGAAAGAAGTAGGTATTTAGGTTACATTCTGGTCTGTGATCAATATCACGTGACGACTAAACAACAGTCAGCTTGAACTTAGTCATTTCAGTTCATTATCTCGAATTTTCTTTAACCTAATTTTTATTATACCATCAACATGTATAATATTTGCATTTCCAAACATCTATAATGTAATTTACAGCAACGCCAAAAACGATACAGAATTTTGCAAAAGTAGACAACATAATTTTGCTAGCAAATTTTCCTCGGTCGATAAGAGACTCGTGGAAAATTACAGACGTGGCTGGGTGGCTCGAATGTTTTTATTGAACACGTGACTACACAGAAACAGTCAACACACTCTGAGTCATTCTAACTTGAAAACATCTCGAATGATCTTTGACCTAATTCTAGCCGAGACACATTTTCTCTGACAGATGTTTTGTCTGCAGCATCTTTGACAAAAAAGCCATCAAAATAATAAATGTCACTTCAATCGATGGTATGATGGAAATATGCAATAAGAAACGTTGAGTTTGAAATG